CTGCTTGTGGATCTGCACTTCTGTTTTATACTTAGAGCTTTCATCTGCTTTGAGTAGGAGCTTTGTTAAGTATGAACTCTCAGTAAGCAGTTGCAGACGACCCACCAGAGTGGATTGGTCTTCAGCTGGGGATTTCTCATGTTACTACAATAAAAATAAATAAGAGTCATAATTCTGAGATGTGTACATAAACTCCCTTAGCTGCTACATCATTACATAGAAGTGGGGTTAAAAATAAAATATCACAACTCTTTATTCATATCAAATAACAATAGTGTAGAAAACTTCCTCTAGGAACAGATGAGATGCACTCTTAAAACGAATGAAACTCTCCCTCAAAGGCTCAATGCAACTGGCCATGTGGATATATCATTACACTGACAGACTGAACATATTATAAGTTCCTTCTTGACCCACGTGCTCTTAATAAAAGATTTTATTTCATTCCTCTGCACACATAGGCTTCTGTTGCAATCTCCCTCGAGTGAGCTTTGCTTACCTCCCAGAGCCTGAAAAACGTTCCCCTGCTCTCTGCACACTAATCTTCTCTGGAAGACCAGAAGTCCTCATCAAACTTCTCTGCTCTGTAACTCCTTGCTGAATGCTGGCTTTCAAAACAAGCCAATAAGGGAAACAAATGCTTATCCCATCAGAAAGTTCTGGCATGTTATATTAAACAAACAGGGCATGTGCAGTACATGTATGTTCCAGGAAGAAAGAATTCTTAGTATCAGATTAACCTTGCTTTCCACTTCAGATCTGTATACAAATAGCACAGGGGTGGAAAAGGGCAGTAGTTAACCGCTTAGTGAACCAGTAGGACAAACTGCATCTCCTTCACGTCCTTAAGTCACTGTGGCTGTAAGAGGCAACCTTATGAACTTAACTCTGACTTTTATACAAGGATTTCAAAAAATTTAGCAACTACAGAAGCAACACATCAATTCACTCTCAACTAGCAGGGGGCCTTTTTTTAACAAGAAATGGAATTACAGTTCTGGTAATAACAACTTCTTCATTGCAAAACTTCCTATTTCTCAAATGGTGAATCCAACTAGGTTTCTGTGCACATAAGTTATATGGTTCTCTTACAGTGTAAGAGTGAGAAGGGAGCTGGTCCAGTGATGCCCTTAGTGGTAGGTGAGGATTTTTTAAATCTTTTCTACCATTCTTTAAGTGATAGCAGCCTGCCTCAGTCTTTTCATGATAATTTATTTAAAGGAATAAAGGAAAACTCCACACTGCATCTGATTATGCTTAACCCAAGGAAATTTCCTTTTGGCTCTGTTAAATGATGGGTTTGTAATCCATACTGTGACAGTATAAAGTGAACAGTTTTTACTAAACAGAGCAATGGTACTATTTATAGAACTAGATAATCTACAGTCCTCAAGTGACATGTACTTCAGTATTACCTTGCTGCTGTAAGACAGCTAAACCTATGATTTGAAGAAAAATTAAAAGCACAGCTAAGCCAGCCTTTATGAAAAGCCATAGTGGCCTGTTTAAGCTGAGAGTGAGCTGAGGAAGGGACACTGGTTATCTTCTCCTGAGTATGCTGGTGCCAACTTGCTCAGCACGAGCATGATCTCAGAATTTCAGATTTCAGAAAATACATGCTTTACCAGCATGGACAGGCACCCTCACTCATGTCTACAGACTTTCTGAGCTTATTTATTGAAGTTAAGGATAAAAGAGACCTGAACACTGCCACCTGAGACCATCAGCAGACAGGACACAGATGAAACACTTTGAGCATGGACATGTTCAAGATTCTTCACCAAGAGAAGGTGGTTGAGTATGGAACATGGCATCAAATAATAGCCAGAGATCAACGAGCATCTGGACAACACTCTCAGATGTATGGTCTGATCTGGCTCTGTGGAGCCAGGAGCTGGACTCAATGATCCTTCTGTGTCCTTTACAGCTTGGATAATTCTATGATACTATGATACAGCAGCTAATATTTTTGACCTCAGGTGTGAAAAAGCGAGAAGACAGCTGCACATCACCACTCATGCAGGGAGCCTCCAGCCAACACAGTTAACTCACTTTATAGGGTGTCCACCTCTTCCTGGCCAACAGCAGCAGTTTATGCAGAATGCAGAGCCAAATTTCAGCCACCAGACACTTTTCAGTATCACACAGGTATCTTGCCACTACTGGGCATAGCAAAACACTTCACACTGTACTTTGCTCTAAAGATGCTTGTCCCATCATCTTATTTGTGCTGAAGTGTGAGGCGATGGTGCAGTGTTGTGCTTGCTTGGTGTCCGCACAGAACACCCACAAAAGTCATTAAGTGGGATGAGGGGAGGGCTAATTGCAGCATTTCAGTTTATAGCAATCCCCTGTGAGATGCAGTGTGTGCCTTTGAAAGCGTTCTTCATTGCACCAAAGTATTTACTGCAGTTCTTGTACTTCAAATGGGAAATAATGCAACTATAGAGGCAGTAACGCAACTAGTGTGGGTGGTAGCCAGCCAATTCTTCTTACACCTACACCATATTTTGTTCCAGAAGATCATATTAATGCTGTTATGGGAATTACAAAATTGTTTTAACGGCACCTGCTAGGCAATATTGTGTATGGGGAAACTTAAAATAGTAATGACCACTCTGAATTGTCACTACAGCTACTCTTCTTCAGTTCAGCTTTCTGTCTCTCTGCAGGCTTTCTAGTTTAATGACTGTTCATCCTTTCATGTTAACAGAAAAAATACTAACTACTGAATAAGAGAGTGTGTGTGTGTACTAGCAAGATCATTAATCCGAATAAATGTGACAGCTGAGTTGCACAAGAAATGCCACAGTTAGCGGTAAGCACAAACTGCAGCTTTGGGTGCAAAATACTGTAATTACAAGGGATGGAGAGAGCTCCACAGTTTTTATCCCCACAGAAATCAATATCAGTGCAGACTGCTGCTCTTTGCTGGAGCAGGGGCAGTCTGATGAAAGAGCTTATTGATTTATCCAGCTGATGCTACTGTAGTGAATAATAGACTGAAAGAGAAAGAGCTTGCAAATTAGACTCATTCAACTCAACGTTTTCCAGGATACCTTTTATACACATAAACATATAGAGATGTATGTTTACAAGTGAGTTTTTGTCAAAGCAACAGCCTCATGGTAAGTTGGGCCCATCCAGTAACTCTTTGATCCCAGCTGCTCACACAATGCAGTCACTGAGGTCTGCCTCAGAGCAGGAAGCACCAGAGCACCCAGAGACAGGATCTGGCCATAGGGCAGGCAAGCAGCCGGCCAACGCAGCCTCCTGAAAGGCTGAACACAGAGGGCACGTGTTTGTGGCACTAAGTGGCACCCACCAGCATGACAGCTTTGAGATCTCTGGTAGGTCCAGATGTTCCCAGGCAGGGGAAATGCCAGCTTCAGGCCAGCCCTCACCAGTCTCATGTGCAGTATTTTAGGAATGAAGAGGTCCATGTTCCTTCCTTGCTTATGGGCAGATCTGCTATGGATCTAGACTCACATCAGTGAAAATATAAAAGAGACAGAATGGTTTTGCATAAACTGCAAGGAAAGAAAGAAAGAGAGAAAGAGAGAGAGAACAGTAGGCACACTGCCATAAAGTGCAGCAAATCAATCTTCCCAGAGGTGATGGATCTGGAAGCAGCACTGTAGGTTTTACAGGTGTATGAAGCCCCAGGAGTACGAAGACACCACTAAAACACTGCCATTAAATTCCAGCACTGAAGGATGATCATGGCCCCTGGAGCCAAGTGGGTCAATATGTGACTGAATATTTTTCATTACCATTTTTATATACATATATATGAAGCAGAGTAAGATTCACAATAACCTCACATTCTCTCCCACTGAAGGCTTCTGCTTTATACTCAGCATCCACTTTCACAAATAAAATGCAATATACCATCAACAGATAAATGAGATCCCTATAGGGCTTTTATTCTGCTGTACTATTATATCTATTCTTCTACCAGATTTCTGCTTAAATGGCTCTCTTTATGCACATACACAAAGATGACATACACCTGTCTAAATATAAACTGATAGTAAAGAGCTCTTCTGTAGAGGGGATGCATCTTTTCTTCCTAATTTACCATAATGACTTATTCATACCACTGGAGCTAGAGGTGCGTTAACTTTCCCACTATGATAGTCGCAAAGATGTTTTACAATAAAACAGGGGAAAAAAAATCCAGCCATGTCTTTGGAAAATAAAAAGCCTAAAGCTCTGAATCTTACCTTTCTATATTCCTCTTAAAAACAAATATTGGAGAGCTACACTTTTTATGCTGTTGACATTGACTAATAGCATTTCACATGATGAAAGTGATGGTGCAAGTCACACTGAAGAAGTGTTTTTGGTAAATCTGGAAAACTTGGGGCAAAATACTGACATAGACTATCACAAGAGGTTGTTGCCAGGACAGTAGCCACCTACTCAGGAAGTAGACCTATTAGTTTAGTGGTGTTACTTATGTGGCATTGGGACTACTTCAGTCAGTAGTCATCTGTCAGAGAGAATAAAAATTCCTGACTCTTTTTTCATTAGAAAACTCTAAGCATATTATGATCTGTTTGGGCAGTGAAGAGCTGAGGCTCAACAGAGAAGAAGGAAGAAGTGTCTCATACTCTTCAGGAGAGAAGTTATTGTACTCAGGTTATTCTAACAAAATGCAAAGAGAAGTTTCAACATACCAGCAGAATGGAGAAGATTTCATTTTTAAGAATGGATGAGAAAGACATAGAAGATATTGCTTGCAAAAAAGTCAGAACCACAGCACAAGCGTACTCTTGCTTTCATCTCAGTCTTATTAGTCCCTAAGACAGGACCACGGCATGGACAGACACAGACTTGAACAGATCTCAGTACTAGAGCAGACCTTCATGATGCTACTGCATAAATTATATGAAGGTTGTATAGGTAACAGCTGTCAGGAGATATATGATGACAATAGCAGGTTTTTCTATGGCTACATCTTTCCTGGACCCCAAAGCTGATGCAGCAGCACTCACCCTGCATGCAGAGCCCGTCAGTGCAGTTCTTGGACTGTAGCACCAGTCCCTCGCAGTCCTTGCCTCCATTCTTCGGGGCCGGGGCTGTGCACTCCCTCCGGCGCCAGTGGGTACACTCTGTGCCACAAGTGGACCACTTACTCCAGGATGTCCATTTGCCATCCACTGAGACAAGGAGAAGACACAAGGTGTTAGGGGAACAGGTACACAAAGGGATGTGTGGGACCAAGCCAAATCCTTGCTCTTCTTGGGATAACTCTACCTGGAATTTTCAGTTATCCTAGCAAGGAAGGACTCTAAGCCATGCCAACACGTGAATCAAGGAAATGAACCAGCCCGTATTTTTAAAAGTCCTATTTCTGTCCCAGCATCATTTCTGCTCTTCCTCTCCCTTTTTAGAAACATGTCAGCAGTTTATCTATGCTCAAAGTGTGCAAGTTGGCAATCTGTGATTTTTTTTCCTTTTTTTTTTTAACACAGAGGTTAAAATTAAACTTGGCCAGCAGCTCTTCCCTAGAATGAAGATATTTAATTTTAAATATTTGATATTAAAAGAACTATTTAAAGGCACTGATATATTTCACACGAATAGAATCAGGAATGCATTTAGCACCTTTCAAAATCCCGCAAAGATTTTCAAAAGCAAAATGTGAAAGAGTCAATGAACTAATAACTAAATTATTCCAGTAACAGAGCTTGAGACAGTAGACTGCAACTTGGAATAATGAGAAGAGGTGAGATTTTTGCTCATTTGAACTCCTTTGACCCACTCCTACGACTGTCTTGGATGGCCAAGCTTCCTAAGTTGAAGGTGACACCATAGTGATACTAATTTCAGTGGTGCAGCCAACATAGGAGAGTACTAGGCAGTAGGACAGATGGCAGAATGTTGTCATGGAAAGGCCACAAACTACCCTTTGTCTCCTAAAACAATTTTGTAATTTTCATAAGTTTGCATTTAAATACCTTTTAAAGGTATTGTATTTGAAGTCAGGTAAATGTGCCTGAAATTTGGCATCCGCTCTTCACATGTCTCAAATGACGCACTTGCTGTGACAGCTGGACTGAACAAACATTACAAATTTATTTGCATCACCGTTACTTTGTGGACTCAAATTCCTGTCCTGTTCCAGAGCTTTCAGGCTTTATCTCCCACTGTCTGAAGCTCTGAGCGTTCTCCAAATCCCCTGAATTACTAAGGCTGAGACAAGGTCGCAATCTGTGTGCAAAAGTGGGACCAAATCCCTTGCTGCTTGATGTAATGTGTGCACTATTTTATCTACTTACATAACACAATTTCCTATTCATTCACTGAAATGCTGGATTTATTAATAAAGAGAAAGAAGCTTCTGTGACTAGCGGCCTTCTCCTGGAATGACTGGTGCCAGAAAAAAATCATGCATTGAGAGCTATATGCTGTTCATACCTTACCTGGACACAAGGTGGTGCAAGCTATTTTCTGAACATTTTGCCCCTCACAGAAAGCTCCCCCATTGAGTGGGGCAGGGTTAGTGCAAGTCCTTGTGCGCTTCTGGAAGCCTCTCCCACAGCGGCTGTTGCACACGGACCACTCAGTCCAGGTAGACCAGCCTCCATTCACTGGAAAGCAAGAGGAAGAGTGTGACTGCATGAAAGCTATCCTGGAGATAACTTGCACTGCACCTCTTTGTTGGATTTATCCATCATCTACGAACACTGAGACACTCTCATGCTTTCAACAGGAAGAGTTGGAAGTGATGATTTATCTTTCTTTTCCAGATGCTGATTTTGGGGTGTCAGGGCAACTCCACTCACCCCAGTGTAGTAACAGCCGGTGCGTATGAATGTCCGAGCACCTCCATGACAAATATTTAAGCTGTTCAGAGTGAGCTCACACTATTTTTCATTTTGGACTTTGGGGAGATATTTATCCTTGGGAAGATGTTTCTGCCCACTCTTTTCCACCTGCCTCAGCTTCTAGTTTAGATAGAAGAATGATGTGGATGGAGAGGGAACTGTGCCACTCTATGTATTAATGGCATCATCAGGGTACGGATAACATACCAACCGTTTAAATTCCCCAGCTCCCAAATATCTGTGGTATAACACAACCCTTAAGAGGATATAATATCAAAACCCACACAAGTGGCTGCTCCTCTACATACGTTCTTGACTTCACTGTTCAAAAAAATACTGTATATAAATGAGGAGGAGTTCAAGCATGCCTATATGCCTATGCTTTTGCATTCACCACAGTTACAAAACATAGTGCTTTTGCAAGGTCCATCTCTCAATATCACAAACACTGCTAATCAACTCAATTCAGCTGTTTTTCTATAAAATCTGAACTAAAAGGCCCTCATTGTAACTTCAGGGAAGCAACTGCTTACAATTAAATCTAACTGCTAGACTGAATATGAAATGAATATTAGGGATAATCATAGGGATTTCTTCCCACTTGTCTATCCTATAATTAAGCTGATTGTAAGGAACACCAGGATAGTCAGCTGGCATGCTGTCAGATCAGGTTTTGTTCTGCAGGATACCCCAGCTTGGGAAGCATTGTAGCGATGGCTTACTGGGGCAGGAACTCAAGCTGTGGGGAAAAACAGGACAGGCTAGAAGAGACCCCAATAGAAAAACTGGGCTGGCCAAAGGAGGGCCAACCTCATTATCAGATCAGGGCTGTTGTGTAGAATAATGCTATTCAATACTTTCTACTCCCCTTATTTATTTCCAAGACAGGTTGTGTTCCTATGAATTGAAGCCATAGAGTGCTTTGCGAATTTGACATCAGAGTATGCTTTGGTAATAGGCATCAAAAATAGGTTGATTAGAAAGGGATAAGAAGATGGGTGAGTCCGTTGAACAGACACTCTTACCAGTACATGGAAGCACAGATTTCATTTTAGTTTCACTCTTATTTCTGAAAAGCATCAGTGAGAGAATGAAATGTATGGGTAGAAAGCAAGGTGTGATGCTAGAGGAAGCCTCCATGTAGCAATTTGAGTGCTAGCAGCATTAAGAGTTGCATACAGGCATGTTACATTTCTAGAAGCCTCCCTCCTGATTGTTCAACCCTGTGCCACAGGAAAAGGCATCACTTACCATAGACGATCACAGTTGCTGTAGTGCTTTTCCTTTTGGCCACAATGTTTTTGGCAACACAAGTGTAGTTGGCTGTGTCAGAAAGCCGGGCTTGCTTGATGATTAGATTATGATCAATGGTGATGTAAAAATTTCGGTCTTCCACGGGATCAATCACCTCTTCATTCTTCAGCCACTCCACCTGAGCGATTCAAAGGGCAGAAGGGGAAAAACTGAATCAGCACTGGTCACACCACAGTGGGTACAAAATCTGCCATCTTCTTGCCCATCTCTGAGAGAGTTATGAAGCACACTACAAAGGACTCACCTGGTGCACACTGCCAACTGGAAGGCGGCACCATGGCAGGAGTATGGAAGAGTAATGTTGACATCTACCTTTTTCTTCAGGCTCACTGTCTCCCACCGTTACTCTCACTGAATGGCTTGCCTTCAAAGTATTAATGCATTTTCAGAGTCGGCCAGCTGCTGTGTGTGCTTTCAGAGCATGAGGCATGGGATATGGAATAGGATAACTAAGGTTTCTATCTACATGCAGAACATTCCCTTACACCTGAAACCTAAAAAAGACCAAGTCTCTCACCCAATCTTTGTACATCTCATCTAATAGTGCAGTAACCTTGTATGCATCTGCACAAGTTGTAACACGGTGAGGCCACATAACAGATAGACAGCAAACAGGCCAAAATTTTTTAGTACACATGCACTCATGCATATATGTCTGCTATCATTCTGCTGTAGTCAGGGTTAAATGAAACAGAGACAGTTACCAAGGAAATAGGAGCTCAAAAAGACTACATCGGTGCTTAGATTTCCTTTTTCTTTATATAAGCTGTATTTCATTTTAATAAAGTGTAATTTCCTTGGTTACACATAAAAATATTTTTATATGTGATTTTTAATCCAGACAATGTTCTTTTTATTGCCTTCCCAAAGAAACACCCTATTATATCCCAGCTGACTGCTGTGAGCCACCCTTATGTAATTTGGCTGAAAAACTAGTAGCTTGTTTTCCTTTGAACAGAGTGTGCTCTGAAGGAAGGGACTGGGGACCTGGATGGATCAAAGCAGGGCCTTCGTGTCTCTGGATCATTTCAGCTTGTGCCCAGAGTTAATGAAAGGAAGAAAAACATAAACACAATCAGCCTGCTGGGCCCAAGAGGTGCTATCTGCCAAGGCCTGCTCTCTCAAACTCCACTTTGATGCGCTGCTTGACAGCCACATATTCTGAAATCATCCCAAAACAAGTGATGCTAAAAGTCCTGCAGAAATTAATAGGAATGGATGAGAAATAAAAAGACATAAATCTTTGGAAGCTGTGTTTCTATCACTGCAGCGTTCATGTTTTATCTGCCATGGAAGACACAAATTCTTGGTCATAACCTGGTTTTGCTTGCCAGGATGATTGAAATTGTTCTTCCTTTCCGGAATCCCCATGGCCATCAAGTATAATCAAGATGGACAGACTCTTGTTCAGTCAGTGGCAATCTCTGGCTCTTTTCCCACATGCAGGTCAAGTCTGCATGCAACCCAGACTGAAAAAACAGCCAGCAGCTCACCTCTCCTCCTGCAGAAGGTTGCTACTTAACCCCCATCTCTCACACAAATCAAGCATCTTTCTGTTTTTTCAGTCCTACTCTATCTCTGGGATGGAGTGTTTGGACTCTAAAAGATGCTACACACAGTGCCAGAGCTGTGCACTCCAACACCTTCAGACCCACCACTACTTTTTCTGTGATCTGCACATTGAGAAAATCAGGACATCGGTGAGGACAGGACTACACTTGTATCGTGGTCTGAGGCTCAGCTAACAATTTTCCTGGTATAGCCATGTAAGTATGTGCACCAGCCCTCCTCGCCAAGAGCTCTGTATTCAATAAATACCAGCACTCTGCAACACTCTCTCTCTCTCCACAAAAGCACACACATGCATATTCAGCTTGAGTCTCAGCTGATTAGACAAAATTAAAGCTATGAGCATTAAATTCCCTTTCATCCCTGCAAGAAAACTGAAGAGGATATGAAAATAAGAGTTGCCAATATCAGAAAAAAAAAAAAAGAGGCTCTACATAATTCAGTATACTGCCTCTAGCTCTTTGTCAAATCAGCTGGGAAAAAGATCCTCTTCACCTAATGGCTTACAGAATTTGCTAACAATAAAACATTAAGCTTGCAGAACCACAGGATTTATTTTTTCTTCTGAAAAATCTGCTTTGCCAGTACATTGGTACTGTGTGTGCATGTCTAAATCTCATCTCTTTTACTAGGTACTTCTTGAATATAATCCAACTCATTCTTGTGTTGATATCTGGGTTTTAACGATGTAATGAGTCTGTTCACACAGCAAAGTATCACAAAATCTGAAGGGAGGAACTGAAGAGAAAACATCTGAGACAAGAGAAGGGATGCTTCTTTCTTACACATTTTAGCCATTAGTATAAAGAGCAACACAGAAAAGAGCACACTGCTCCTGCAATAATTAGCTCTTGTGTTTTCTCTTTCAGTCCTTGTACAAATGTTAACCAATTAAAGCACATTATAACATGTAAATAAGAATTCTGTTAGTATATATTTTCAGTTGCTAATGGCCTATTTTTTTTTTTTTCTGAAGCTACTCACCCACTGGCTGCAGCGCTCAGCACTCCTGACAAGAGGCAGGTTTGAGTTGCAGTGTAAGCAGATCTAAGGAAAGCAGGGCTGTTTTCATGTACATATAAACTGATCGGGTGTCAAACACAAAAGAGAGCAAAGTGGAGTGAGACAGTATGACTTGTGAATGACAAGTATGCAAACTGTTATTACTGAAATTAAAAGCAACACTCTCTTGTGATGCCATGTTATTCCCCAGGGTGTAGCCCTCTCGCTTTGTGCCACAGACCTGCGCTCTACCAGGTGAGCAGGCAGAGGTGAAGTGAGATGCCCATGGGCATTCTGAGATCCACAAGATGTCCATCTTCAGGGTCAGGCTAAACCAAGCCCTTGTGACTTTGTTTTTCAATGTCTTCTCTGAAGAAGACATTTCTGGAGGAGATGCTTGCTATTCCTAGATACTGAGAGTATGCATTTGCTGGCTATAGTCACAAAGATTCTTTAACAGATATCTCCAGTACCTGAAGGGGGCCTACAGGAAAGCTAGGGAGGGACTTTTATAATGGCATGTAGCAGCAGGATGAGGGGAAATGGTTTTAAAATGGAAACGAGTAGATTTAGACTAGATATTAGGAAGAAATTTTTTACCGTGAGGATGGTGAGACACTGGAGCAGATTGCCCAGTGAGGTCGTGGATGCCCCCTCCCTGGAAATTTTCAAGGTCAGGCTGGATGAGACTTCGGGCAACCTGGTCTAGTGGGAGGTATCCCTGTCTCTAGCAGGGGGGCTGGAACTGGATGATCTTAAAGGTCCCTTCCAACCCAAACCATTCTATGATTCTATGATCTAGATCTGTCTATTCAATTAAACCAGACATATCTCTCCAACTATTACTCATAAATGCATGGATAGCTGTGCATAGGTATAGAACAAGCCTGAGCATAAGTTTTCCTTCATCTAACAGCAAACATTTAATCAGCCACAATACTGCCATAAAGGGTGTTTAAGTTTTCTCTCCTGGACATGCCAGCTATGGAAAATAACAACACTCACTCAGCTTTCATAAACATCAGCCCTCCAGAACAAAGCCAGAATGAAATTCTTATCTCTATTGCCAGTTTCCTAGTTCAGATAATTTTACTTTAGACGTCTGTAAGCAGAGGAGTGAGCGCAGCGGATGAGCTTACAGTCCCTGCAGTTGCTCAGAAGGTACCTCCCAGCCTGCCATAAGACCCAACTGTCCCTGTGAGCAGCCGAGGACGCACAACCCAATGTGGCTGTAATTCAGAGCAGTGTACTTTGTAGTGTCTGTGCTGCCATCCTGCTCCCTGGTGAGAGACAGATGTGTTGACTCTAATTATTCACTGATTGGTATCGGGAGATACATTAACATAATTGGCACATTTGTTCTAATTAACAGTGGGAACCTGCCACATGCCATTCGACATAAGAAGCGAGACCATCGGTGAGAGCAGGAAGCCTGCAGCCACCGGGATGGTGGTACCTGGGGGCTAAGGATAGCCCTGTCCCACTGCAGGATGCTTCAGCAGCCTGAAATAACATAGTTTAGGCAGATCCAACAGCATGCAAAACCTGTCCAGGCTCCTGGGCAGGCTAAATGAGCACAGAGGATATAAATCACACAAGTGATTACATATGCTGGATAACCTATTACGGAAGCTAATTGCTGACACAAATTTAGCCATGCCAAGTTACTAACATTATCAGATACTTAAATCTCTTGGCACACTTTTGTATGCGTGACTGTTTTAGAAGCTGGTAGAGCAGAAGCACAGCTGCTCAAAAAGAACTACAGAATGCAAAAGGGATGTGGACTCCTCTGGTTCTTCCTTTAGCGATCTCAAGAAAATCCAGCAGGGTGCAGGCCCTAGATCCTTCACTACCCTGCAACAGCTTGCCCCAGGCCCATCTTCAGAGCACGGAGCACCTGCCAACACCAGCACTACATTTTCTACCCCTGTAGGCATAGGCAAAATCTCTAGGCACAGACCGACAGAACAAACAAGCTGCAAGCAGCTGGGAGTAGTGAGAGAGTTGCCTCAATAAAAGATGAGTGAGGAACCTGGAACGAAAGATGATTGTGAACCTGCATTCCCCATGGCTTGCAAAACAGCAGGATCACATTCTATCTCATCTCCCAGACACAACAGTGATCCAGGTTATGTTCTTTATATGTCACAGAACTAATAAAACATCTGTGAAGCTAACCACTGATTTGGATACAATGCAAGGTGCCCAAGTGAGACAGAGGAAACTAGCAGTTTTCATACAGGCTATTGGGCCAACAGTTATTTCAGGTATATTGAGATCTGAGTGCCTCTTTGAAGAAGTTACTTGATTTTTGGACTTGCTCTCAGATGTATGCTTTCATCCCATCAACAGGAGGATGCTGTACTTTGCATGCTAGTTGGTTTAAAGTTAAAAAAATCTCTTTCCAAAGAGGCTGAGATTACAGCCATGAGAGACTGCAGAACACATATTGAGAATGAGACAGCAAATGCAAACTGCAGTGACATTTTATTCAGTTGTTCTTTACTTCTGCTGCCAATAAAGGGAATTTGTGTTCCTGCTGTG